ACTCTGGATAGCAAACAACAAATTGTACAATTTTGAGTCACGCCGACCTGATCGTTCTGTATGTCAAAAGAACTATGGGGGGGGGGACCCACTTTCCAGAAAGTAGGAAAACTAGCTGTGTTCTCACAACAGGTTCTCTAGGAAAGATTATACATGCTGATTTTGAACCTTATACAAATTGTTGCAGGGAATTATTATTGCTTTATCTTGGATGTTTCCAAAAGCCATGGAATTACTGATGTCAAACTTCAAGTCAGCGTAAAATACAGTCAGCCCTCTGTATCCACGGAATTTTTATCCATGGATTCAAGCGTCCACAGCTTTAAGATATTTTAAAAATATATTAATCCCCAAAAGCACAGCTTGATTTTGCCATTTTATATAAGGGACACCATTTTATTATGCCATTATATTTAATGGGACTTGAGCATCTACGGATTTTGGTATCCATGGCGGGTCCTGGAACCAAACCAGCGGATACCAAGGGTCCACTGTATGTATTATCTTGAATAAAGTTCAGTTCTGACACTTTAAATGCACAAATCTCATTCAGTCATTCCAGTTAGCAATTAAACAGCTGACACTTTCATTAATAGTTATTGGAACTTGTTATAGTTTCTTTAATGAAAGCAAATCCAACATGGGAGAGAGAGAAGGAGGACAAAACACTGCCTGTAGTACATCTCCAAAGTCCAAGGTCAGTAGATTTAAAGATTTTCTAGAACTAAATTGGTGCAGTAGGAGTAAAACCAGTTCTTATCTTCTAGCAGTGATGAAGATAATTTCAGCAGTGTTTTAACGCTAAACAGCTGAGAGTACTGCAAAGCTTAACAAAAAGCCATCTATCTTGCCTTCCCTCGACTCACAACATCAACTTATGGGGAGCCTATGAATAAGAGACCAAGTCAACCTGTTAGCAGAAACCTTGCTCAGGTCTTGAAAACTCAAATATTATCACATTAGAAAAGAAAGATGAAACAGAACAGGAGAGTAATGGCTTTCTCTGTGCCTCTCCGCATGCTCTCGGAGCACTTCTGTCCTCCATCCAGAGGGAGATGGTGGTAAAAGCATGCCTTTTGTCAAACAGATTTTTCCTTGAGAACGGAAATGCTACAACATCATGTGGAGAGGCACGGAGAAAACCGGTATACTTTCCCACTCTGTTTCATCTTCCTTTTCTAATGTGATAAGGATCTGAGTCTATCCACCTTGTAATTCAGTCTTCCTCTTTTCCTACTTACTGCCTTCTGCCTTGCCAAGCATCATTGTATTTTCTGAGTCCTGTCTTCTCATGATATGTCCAAAGTATGATATCTTAGGTACTAGGGAAATTTCAGGCTTGATTTGTTCTTGGACCCATTTGTTTGCCTTTTTGATGGTCCAGGGTATCCACACAACTCTCCTCCAGCACCACATTTCAAAACAAAATGCAAAGTGCATAACGTGGACTTTGGATTTTCTTTATAAGTGTATGCCAAACACTCCTGAGTCGAAGCAAAGGCTTTTACGCTCATGATTTTGCTTCTGTACTTCTGAAGCTATACAAATCACATTTTAACCACCAGGTCTTGGTGTCTGTTCGTGAATAGCACACATGTACACCATTCTCCAGAAGAATTGTCATATTAGGCTGTTACATCAAAAAGGGTTGAGTGTTCAGGCTAGAGGACATGCTCCTTATTGCATGCAACTCCGGTACTGCTACTGATAAAATCATAAGCACATGGTGTCAGCTTGGTGTAGTGGTTTGAGCGTCGGACTACAACTCTGGAAACCAGAGTTCAAATCCCCGCTCAGCCATGAATGCTCACTTGGGCATCACACACTCTCAGCCTCGGAGGATGGCAATGGCAGAACCCCTTCTGAACAAATCTTGCCAATGATAAGTCTGCCTTAGTGTCACCATAAGTAGTGCAACCCTCAAACTAGTGTACCATGCCAGGGCAGTGAAAGTGAAATTATAGTGCTATAATTGTTCAAGACACACAATGGCAACAACAAACCTGTGTAGTGTAAAACTGCTGCAGGACATGCTGAAATGTTTTATGAGTATACCATTGAAAAACATGTTCGCAGGGCATTTGGAAATGTGCAAGCTACCTGGATGCATATTTTCAGTCCTCCTGAAATTAAACCCCATTGCATTTGGTGACTGTTTTGTTCTAGTGTGCCTTGTGAGAAAGCACACTGCCTTGGCTTTCACACTGGGATAAAGCTGGGATGGATATTAAATATTATTGGCAACCCCATGGTATTATTGGCATGGGGGAAAGGAACAAAATCGGTGAAAGAAGAGCTTTGTCAAGCTCTGGATAGAAGTGAGATTTCACACAAATCTCTATTTTAAAAACTATAAAAACTACATTGCTAGGCGCACAAACAAGATATAGTTTGCGGGATTTTCTTGTTCCTACTTGAATCTCTTTACCACTTCCTCTTGTCCTCCTAGTTCTTTGTACCGGCTTGTCCTGATAACGTGTGTTGTTCTGATAATCTGTGTGTGTGTTTACTTAAAAACAATTGAACTATGTATAGAGTTAAAACAATTTGAGTCATCCCAGCCTCCCTAGAGAGGAGCGATCCCATGTCTGGGGCAGCCACCCAGAAGGTCATACAGTGACTCAATAATCCAACTTTATTCAAAAAATATAAGTCATATCCCTCCTTTTGTCTTCCATTACACATCTCAATTATCTCAACTTTATATCAATCAATCAATCTTTTATTGATTAGCCCTTAGGCCATATCACTATCTCAACTTTATATAAAAACTATATAAAACTATATAGAACGATTATTTACTACTCAACCCATTGTTTTCCTCTTTAACATGTATTATATTATTTTGATTTTCTGATTTCTCTTCCAAAAAACCTTCTGTTCAGCCGTATCTATATTTCTTATTTGATTTCTCTTCTATGCATCCTTTCAGTATGTATAATATTCCCTATTCCTATATATGTATATAATATTCCCTTTTCACCAGCAGCACATATGCTAAAATTGGAATGATACAGAGAAGAGTTGCATGGCCCCTGTTAAGGAATGTGACCATTTAACTTGGAGAGCATGAGCCTTGGGCACACAGCTGTTTATTTGTCTTTTTAAATGGATTTTGGGTATCTCACAAGTTTAGTGTCCCTTGGATCACTTTGACCTGGGAAAGTAACCCGGACCATATAGTGCAGTACTTATCTTTTTTCAATGGAGTTGTGGGTGCCTCACAGGTTTGGTGTCTCTTGGATCAATTTGACCTTTTCCCTAGCCCCCGTGCCGGCAGTAAGTGTGGTCCTTTTGAACCTGACACTTGGCACGAAGGCAACTTCTGTGTCATTGCCTTTCATATACCCTCCCTGGGATTTTGATAAGCCCTGGCAGGAGGTGGGGTTAATCCAGCTGTGCTTTCTAAGCCCCGAATTAGCTAATTTTGGACGCTGAGAGCAAGGCTGACGGAGACGGCGCTTAAAAAGGAGAAAAAGTAGCATGTGTAGGTTTGGTTGAGGCCAGGTTATGATTCTTATTTTTAAAATCAATATGGCATGTATATGTTTGAATGCTGCATTAAACCAGGTGTCTTCCCCTAAAACAAGAAAGTACTGTGCATATGTTTTGATTGTACTTTGTCCTTTGACATTCATATTTTATAGCCTGTTGGAGAGGAAATTTTGCACATGATTTCTCGTGGACCAGCAGAGTGCCAGCTTTGGAGCTGACGAAATAATGGCAACCTTTTATTGGGGCATGGGGTGATTTCTGCTAAGGTGGTCAGACTCCCTTCTGTACTGGGTGAAGGTTGAGCGTGCCATAATTAGAAAATGACTACACAAAAGAGTAGTGACTAAACGGGGTCAGAGGGAGTGAGTTGCACAGATGTTCCCCGGCTTGAGGAAGCCAATGTACCAGAATGAGTCATTCAAAGAGCTCTGTCTTCTTTTACTTATGGCAAAACGTGACTCATGGTGCATCCGCACTGCAGAATTAAAGCAGTTTGACACTACTTTAACTGCCATGACTCTAGCCTACAGAATACTGGGATTTGGACTTTGGTGTTTGTAGTGGTAGTTTGGTGAGGTATATACCATATTTTGTTACAAGTTTTTATTTTGAAACCAGGTTCGGCGGATTTCTACCGACTCCATCGCTACCCAGAATTGCTTCCAACTCCAACCTGCAAAATTAATGCAGTTTGACACTGCTTTGATTGTAATGGCTCCATCCTATGGAGTCCTGGGTTTTGTAGTTTGGTGTTTGTAGTGGTAGTTTGGTGAAGTATACCATATTTTGTTATAAGTTTTTATTTTGAAACCAGAGTCAGTGCATTTCTAGCAAGGGAATTTTATTCCACCCAGTTTAATATACTACAGTTGGCAATGGGGTGGATGGGATTAAATTTCACTGGTTTGCAAAACCAAAACGTAGCCTGTTACAAAAAGCACGCATCCACCCTTAACCAGATCTTGACAATCTGGTTTTTCCTCCTTTCCTCAGCTGTGAACACACCAGATTTTTTAAAAGATGAGGGTTAGGTTGGGCAGAGATAAAGGCAACATTTAGTTTGGTGCTCAGACTCCTGTGCTTGTGTATCAGTTTTGGATTTTCCACTGAATATCGCTGCTTCCCACTAGATTTTACAATTACAGATTTTATGGTTGCATTGTGACTGTGATGTTGTGTGTGTTGCAGGTGATTTTTGGCAGCAGTTTGGCTTGGCTCTCCTGTGCCCCATTCCCCTTCTCACACCCACTCCTTTTTCACATAAAAATGTTGCGTCAAATGCAATGTGTGTTGGTTGGCTTGCTTTTTTGGAAAGGTACCCAACAGAGTTTCGTAAGTCATGTGTTCTCTGGTTACTACGCTTATGTCAGGAAGCCTTAACTGGTTTTTCTAATACTTATTTATTTATTAGTTCCACTTCTTTCCTCCTTCATTGCTCTTTTCCTCTTTGCCTTAATCTGTTTTAATCTGTACAATAACATCCCTGCAGAGTAGTCTAAGCAGAGAGAAAGAGATTGAGAAGGGCCCAAGATCACACAGATGTCTTTCACATTAATATAGTCACAGCACTATCTCCTGTGAAATGCTTGGATTTGTAGTTTGTTAAGACCCTATACTCTCCATCTCATGCTCTCATGTGTGAACACAGCAGTGATCCAGGCTTGTTCCTCCTTCTTGCCTGCAACACCCTTACAGTAAAAGGAATGCCAGCTGTTCAGTTGCTGCTCCCAGAGTGGCTGGATACACAGGGAGCAGTGGCCAGACAGCTGGTCAAGCAATGACCAAGAAACCTCTCGCCTAAGCTGGCCTTGTGGCAAAGTCTGGTACAGGCAAGACAATTCTTGTTTGCTGCTCAACTCGTTGCTCCGTTGCTGCTCCCAGGGTGAGTGGATGCAAAGGGAGCAGCAACTGGGCAGCTGGTTAAGCAGTGAACAAGAAGCCTCTTGCCCATGCTGGCCTTGTGGCAAAGTCTGGTGCAGGCAAAGGGATTCTTGGTCACTGTTCAACCGGTTGCTCAGTTGCTGCTCCCAGGGTGACTGATTGCAAAGGGAGCAGCAACTAGGCAGCTGGTCAAGCAGTGACCAAGAGGTCTCTCACACATACTAGTCTTGTGGCAAAATCTGATGCAGGCAAGAGTATTCTTGGTTGCTACTTGACTGGCTTCAAGGTGACTGGGTGCAACAAGCAGCTAACAAGCAATGACTGAGAAGCCTCTCACCCATGCCACCCTTGTGTCAAAGTCCAGCTCAGGCAAGAGGATTCTTGGTTGGTGCTTGACCAGCTACTCGGTTGCTGCTCCCAAGGTGACTGGATGCAAAGGGAGCAGCAACCAGGTAGCTGGTTAAGCAGTGACCTAGACGCCTCTTGCCCATGCCTGTCTTGCGGCGAAGTCCGGCACAGGCAAGAGGATTCTTGGTCACTTCTCGACTGGCTACTCTAGTGATGAACAGGGGACCATGAGTGAAAAGGCAGCTGCTCATTGTCACTGAACACCCTGTCCCAAAAACTCACAGCAAAAGGTAAGTTTTTAAAATGCAAGTTAAGGAGAGGAAACCCTGAATTGGGTGGAAGTTTCTTGAAATAGTCCGAACCCGATTCGGGGTTTTGGTTTTGCATTGTGTAAGTGGGATATTAGGGATGGGACTGGAACTGGAACCCAGATCTCCATGGTGCCAGTGTTTTCTTCATGTGCTTTGAAAATGCCCACAGTCATCCCAAAGGGTTAGCTCTGGTAAGGCTTAGTTGCTTTATAGGGTTGTCTTGTTGCCGATTGCTACCCTGATTGGGAATAAAATAGGTCCCCGGTTTGCTAGGTGAGCCCAGCCTTTATACTTTATTTTATTTTATTTTTAATCCTGGCTTCTTTTCAAAAAAGAGAACGAGTAATTGCTTGTATCCCTTGCATCGCCTTTTTATTCGGAAGTGGACCCTGCCCTCTCTCAGGTGAGAATGGGGTGTTTGCTGAGCAGCCAGGTGGTGCATCTGCTATTAAGGTAATGGGTAACCCGCCTCTCCCTCTGGCATTAGCTTTCCATCTTTCATGCCAATATACAGCGAGGGCACTTGAGGGCATGCCCAACATTTCTGGTGGACTTTGTCCTGGCTGGTCACAGCCAACTGGGTCAGAATGTGTCTGCACTGCAAACTTATAGCAGTTTGATATCACTTTACTAGAGAGCCAGCGTGGCTAAACCCTCCAGCAAGGTATAAACCTAACAGCCAGTGAGGTGTAGTAGTTTGAGTGTTGGACTATGACTCTGGAGACTAGGGTTCGATACCCAGCCTGGCCATCAAATCCCAGCTCG